TGGGGCTTGGAGCAGCCTGGGCTGGTGGGAGGTGCCCCTGCCTATGGCAGGGGGGTTGGAACTGGATGAGCTTTAAGGTCCCTTCCAACTCAAAGCAGTCTGGGATTCCATGACTCTATGAAGTGCTGCCTGTTACTCAAAGAGAAGGGAACCTAGACAAAAAGCTAGAATTAACACATTTCTTGAATTATTTTATGTTGATGCTGAAATCAATTTAGTTTCACTCAAACCATAAACCAAACTTACCAGAACCAACAGCTCAGAAGACCTATCTGATAGAATTGTTTTCCATCTGTCAGGTAGTTGGACTGGACAATCGCTATAGGACCTGCATTCTGTATACTGTATTCTGTTCTAGTCAAATATTCTATGCTATGCCAATATCCTGTTTGATATAATATTCTATTCAATAGCAGACAGGGATTTAAGTAATCTGAGAAACTGGGAAGTTTAGGTCTAACAGCAGCACTATACCACCAAAAATGATAGGACAAAGCAGTGCCATTTGACTCCAGCAGTGCTGTAGGTGAAGCAGCTGGTGTAAGTCACCACAGTCACATAGCTAAGAGTCAAGCCAGCTGAAGCAGGAACCCTGAGAAGCACAACATGGGGCAACCTGGACAGCTGGAACCTTCCTCTCCCACATCCTGTCTTTAGAAGGCACTTGCTGTTGGACTGGCATTGCCAACTGGAAATATTTCCCCTCAAAAAAAGCTGTCAGGACCAAACCTGGTCTTTCAGATAGTAATGACAATCCAATGAGTCTAAAAATGACTGTGGAGAGTTGCAAAAGACTCACAACAGTCAGTGATGGAATCAGGAAAATAAACTGAGGCCAGAAGAGATAACAGCTTTCTGTTTTGTTTAGTGAGTGATCCAGAGCTGGGATAGAAATTCCAATGTGATGTGTCCAAATCTGTAATCTTCTGGCAAAGACACTTAAATCTCATGCATACATGAGTTTTGCTATAAGGGAGGAATTGCTTTACAAGGCCAAATGATTTTTCAGTTTAAATTGCTTAATGGTTATACTGTCTCTCCAAAGACATTCCTACCCCTCTCTCCAAGCTCTGTTTGTACCTTCTGTTTTTCCAGAACTGCTGCCACAGCTGCTTTTCCCAACATCCTCTAACATTGTGCTAAGATATTTGCACTAGGAATGAAGGGGAACAACATACCAACTATATTTGCAACCCCTCTGTTACATAAGCTCTTTGGTGCAAAGCTAGCCATATAGATGAGCTAAATTCTGTGAGAAGGCATGGAGACAAAGGATGTTTCTGAAGCCAGTTTACCTTTTGATCCATCCATAATTCCACTAAGGTAGATAAACAATGACCGCATTCCCATCTGCAGCAGCAGCTCATAACCATGATACAAACTAATACAAAGTGCAAAATCTCCTTCAATTATGCCTTGATGTATTCCCTGTGAAAACAAAACAGTAAATTGGGAAGAAAATAAGCAGCA